GGTCATTTTTATGAGAAGCACTTTATTCCCTTTCCTCTCACTGACCTTGAAGCAGATCCACCTCCTTTGAGAGAGGGACCCAGTTGTCCCAGTGCAGCAGCAGGTCTCTGAGCAGGTCCACCACTGTCGCCCACCACCCCCTGAGCAGCCAGGCACCACCCCGCCTCGGAGCCGCACCCACGCTGCCTGTGTGTGTGCAGACACCCACGGAGCAGTTCCCGACTGATACTTAGACACTGAAATGTAAATGATCAGGTGTTTGCTAGCTAGGGTGTGTGTTATGGTTTGTAAAGTGTTTTCTGTCTGTAAGGTCAGAGCTTCTGTTACGTGTTTTGGGGGAAAGCAGCTCACAAATATCATTAAAACCAGCTTAGTCTTTCCTTCAAGATCATCATCCTTTGGTACTTCATGCTGGAAATCCTTTGGGGAAAACCTTAAACATGTAACCACAAATCTTAAATAATTAGTGGCAATGCTGCCAGTTTTCTGGCCAAGTTTACCAAGTTCACAAGTAGCAAATGTGTGGAAGTCTGAGACATGTTAGCATTAATACTCGTTCTCAGACTTGGCTTCAACAGCAAAGTTCCCTCTTTCACTATCAGCTTTTTTCCCCAGAACTACTTGAAAACGTGGCTACTCTCTGAACTGAAACCAATAGGGTAAGAACTGATAGGCAGCTAAGGCAAACCCACAGGAGGGAGGGAGGGATGTTCTCCCAAACAGGGCCCTTCACACGCACCAGAGCACACATCACGTAGAAATCACCAGCTTGGAGAACTGTCAGCTCTCACTTAATTTCATGCTGAGATACTGCAAAACCTGTGGGAGCCCATCTCCTTCACGCCTGCCCACGCCTGCCCACTCCTGCTTCCTGCTACTTCCGTCTGCACAGAGGTGGAGCTTGGGGCAATGAGTGGAACGCTCTCCTGTTAGTCCAACTGACCTCCTGCCTTTTAAAGCACCAAGACCAATGGAGAGAAAGCAATAACTCATCAAAGTTCAACTCCCATCCCCATCCCCAATATCCGAGAGTTTTCGTTGTGCTCATTTGGTCCCACACGCGAAGGCCTCCTCTTCCTTTCCTGTCAGGCTTTCTCCACCTGCTGAGGGGCGTTTCGGAGGAAACTCAGAGGGCCTCCTCAAGGACACCCAGGGGCCACTGCGGAACAAGCTTCATTGGCACAGGCAGGCACTACCTTGTAGTAATACAGACACCTGATTTTCTTAAACAGCGCGGATTCTTTATCTAAAATTGTCCACCCCTCCCCCCACTTTGTGACATGGCTGTTTTTGCCAAGGAAATCGTAGTCTCAGGACTGTGAATCAGGTGACCTCCAACTGACAGTTACTGGAACTCAAAGGGCCTCAAAAGGGGTTGACTTAACTTGCCTTTCTCCCCTTTTGGCTTTCTATCTTGTCTGTGTCCTTCTGTCTCCACCCACCACTGTCCTCCAAATCTGGTGGACATGAATAGGAACTTGCTGGCTTGATAAAAACATGGTGAGGAGAAGAACAAATCGGCAAGCATGTGTGATTCCAGTGAGTAAACCGCACTTTCTCTGTCAAATCAATAGCGCCTAAGATCTCCAGCCTCATCCACGGGCCACTGCTTAGGAAGGAAGGCCATCTGGCCAGTCTCCCTGTTCCAGTCCAGCTCATCCTCACCTCCTCTTATCTCTTTTAAGTCACTTTTGTTCCATGTTTCAATGTTAGTCCACCTTTACCTTACTTTAAAAAGGCCTCTCTTTACAAATGTGCAGCCTTCGTGTGCCAAACTTGTGAAATACCTTTTGCCCTTTTTAGAGTATTTGCTACACAGCCACCTGGCAGCAAGATCCATTAAATCCGGGACGTGACATATGCAGCCGCCAAGCCCCTGAGCAGCCGAGGAAGCTGGGAAGGTCCTGGGCCGGCCCCTGGCTGGGTGCATTTCTGCATGTATCACCCCAGCACCAGGACACCTTTCAGTCCCTTTACTGTCCTGCAGAAGGACTTGTGAGTATTCCCTCGCAGATCACAGAGACCTGCTTTAAGAACTGCACTGAAGCTACGGAGAGCTGCCAATAATGTCTAGGAAGGTGGCGGCATGGCACAGCACTTTAAAACTCCTATTCCAAGGTCTCTGATCTCCATCCTAAATGACAAAATCACTTGTCCAACGGAGACAGCACAGTCACTTCAGCAATCAGGACTAACCCACAGATGACAAGAGAAGCTAGCTGTGAGGACTGGGCTCTTGCGACTGAGGTCTAGGATGTGAAATGAGGCCGACCCGCTGACGATCAGTAGATGTTTCTGGGCAGAGGTCCCACAGCTCTTTCCTCCCAGCAGCCTCATGACTAGGCTGAGCACTCATGTTGCTGGCTTAGCTTAAGGCTATCTGAAGCTCTTGAAGAACACCTTTATGAAATATACCCAAAACAGAAAAGCTTCCCTGTGGGCTGAGCACCGTGAAATTCCACACCAAGTGGGCAAGGCATCAAGGGCCCACCTGAGCCTGATACATGCCCAGTCCTGCCCTGTTCTGCATGGAAGGGGCCACCGCCAGCTCCCTAGCAGCTGTCGGTCATGCTTGGACTCCTCAGTCCCATTTGCTTCACGGTCGGTAGGGAAACAGCTCTCAGGCATTTCAAGTCTGCCTCCCACCACCTCCTCCCCTGCCCGGGGACAGTCCAGGTATGTGCTGCAGCCACTCTTCTCCACCAGCCACACCTGCATCCTGCCTTCCTACCAGGGAGCCGTGATCCCTTTCAATAAAATTATGCACAAATGTGAACACCTGAGGCAGGGCTGCACAGGTCTTCACTTTTCCATAAGTCAGTAACTCTTAACCAAATACCTGAGAGTACTAGCACCCAAGACAAGAAAAAGTTTTTCTGTACAGGAAAAAGTTTTAATATTTTTGTTTTCTAAGAGTGTAATTACTTGCAACTAGAAGAAAGGGGATGGTAAGTTGTTTTGGCCACAGACCAGAAAGCAAAAATAAACCTCGTAAAGGAAGTATCAAACTCAGTACCACTTCCTAGAGCCAAACAAGAAATGACTGAAGTGCCATTAAACGAATCGTGACCATCGCGTTGCCCGGCCTCTAGGTGGCGCATGGGGCACGCACGTGCTGGGGAGGGCCCACCCTTCACTTCCAAGTACTCCTTGCTTTGCTGTGTCGTTTGGAAAAGCAGCAGTGTGTTATGTCTAGTGGGAATACTTCCCTCTGTCCTTCCTGCCACCCCCGCACTTAAGGTTTCTAGTCAGACCACGTTACTGTACATGTCATCCGGGATCAATCTGGAGGTGCTCATTCACAGCACAAGCCTAAATCGAGTTCTGAACTGTGTTGTTCAAAGCTAAATGTCTGCATGATGTCACATCCGTTGTACCTTTGGGAAAAATTTGTATGTAAGTGTACAGAAATAAAAATGTTGCCCCATTAACAAATTTCCTCTGGAATGTCTTCCCTACCTCATCTGATGGTATCCAATGAAGGGCATTTCACAACCATTGACTACAAGTAATAAAAAACTGTCTATTCAGATCGTGCTGTGTCCCTGTTTTAGCGCCTCTGTAAACTGAGACTCACTCGGCCTGGGAACAGGGGTAGCCTCTCATCTGCTGGCAGAGGCAGAGACAGGTTCAAACACAAACTGTCCATTCAGAACCACTCTCAGACCATCAGTAAGTCTGAGTTCTCTTCTTCTGTGTACTCATGTCCTGCTGAGTGTGGCCTGCAAGTCCTAGAGAAGCTGAGAAACGACCGTCTCGACCTGTGATTCTGTGAGGGAAGGCTGGTAACCCACAACACTCTTCTTTAATGTAGTGCTTTTTTAATAAGAAAACAATGTTTCTTTAATAAAGTTTTATACCAAACTCTTCTCTCCATAGCCCTAATTTTGTGTTACTTACTCTTCCTAGAGAGGTGCCCACTGTGCTGCCAGGCGCTGATGGTGCTGGCCGAGACCGCGGAGACCAGCACAGAAGCCTGCTAAGGAGGGAAGCCTCGTAAACACAGACCTACTCTTCTGAAATGCTTCTGTGCCCTGGCCAGAGTGTCAGCACTCCCGGCTGCTTACCACTGGCTCAATGCTTTTCGCCACCGCACGGAAGTGTTATAGAGACCTAAACTATCCACTTCTAGTAACAAAAGGGGTCCAGGTGGACCCCAAAGATTAAAAAGTTCTGACAGTGGTCCTCAACATGCCTGTGCTGCGCAGCACCTGGGGCGCTGTTCGCCCCGCCGGTGCTGGGGCCCAGGCCACCGGAGTCTCTGGGAAAAGGCCTCACGTGGGCAGTCTGTGGAAACTCCCCCAGAGATTCAAATGTGAAGCCAAGGTTAGAAGCCGCTGACCCATGAAATACTGGGTTTTGAAGAAAGTGGGAAAAAAAGTGTAGCATTTGGTATTAAAAAGATTAGAATCCACTGCAAGTGGTAGACAGAAAATCCTAAGAATTAAAGATAACTTGGAAGTTGGGGAAAAAAGAGAAGGAAAGACAGGAAGAGCCAGCATCTGGACCCATGACATAGATAAAACCGTCACTGACATCGTACTTGCCACAGCACTTCGGGTTGGCAAAGCATTTCTGTGTTATTTCAGCCTAAAAATAACCCAGCAGAGTGAAGACTATTCTCCTTCTTTAGATGATGAAATGGTCCAAAGAAGTTATTCACCAAGACCACAAGTCTCGTGAGCAGCGAGGAGAGGGGATCCAACGCGGCCCAAGGGAGAACACCGCCGGGAAGGGCTCGTCGCCTCGATTCTAACTGGGAGTGGACATAACTGGGGTCAGGACTGACTCACCCTGCAGTCCCAACACAGCCCCATGTTAGCTCCTTCTCTCCATCTCTGAGCAGTCCCAAGGAAGCTACTGCCCATTTTGCTTTCCTCCTTCCCTGGCTTGATCAATTATAGCCCTTTGGCCCACAGTCTGTTGAGGGGAAGAAGGCAAATTAGTAAGATTAATACTTTAAAAACAACATGTAAACACATTCAAGTGGTGACAAACAGTGAAACTCAATTCCTTTATTTAAACATATTGTACATAAGTTACGAATCCTCACTTCAGCCACTCAGCTAGAACTTTTCGGGAAAAGCCTCCATTTCTTCCTTGATCCTGTTTTCTACAAGTAATGCGAAGTTACTGTCTGCATTCTGTAGGTTATAGCTGACAAACACCTGCTTGTTGGTCTTCCTGGCTAAAACGAGAAAACACATTGACACGGCCATGACTGGAATGCCTGGTGATTCTGTGTCTCAGGCCTGCCTTGTGGCTGAGAAGTATTTGGAAAAAGACAATGGGCTTTCAAGGAGAGAAGGAAGTTCTGATTTTTATGACTTCACAGGCAGCTGCTGCAAATACAGACTAAAATCACTGGACCCTATCTAAGTCTCTAGAGCAGTGGTTCTTAAAGCGAAGTCCCCTCCTCAGCAGCATCCCCAGAAAAGTCGTTACAGACAGACGTACTCAGGCCCCACTGCCCAGGACAACCAATCAGAAAGGCTGGGGTTGGGGCCTGCAGTCTGTGCCCACGTGAGCTCCAGGGGATCCGAATACCAACACGTAAGAACCACTGCTCTACACTTACTATTGGTTTGTTTCACTTTTCAAAAAACATGGACAATATTCAAGTATTTAAAATAACATACTAGAGTTCTCCTTTAGTACCACCCTCTCTACCAATTCCTAGAGATAATCCACTTCTCATTTCTGTGCATACACATACACACATACATCCATACACACTTGTATGTGCACATACACACATACACCCAATGTCTAATTTTCACCTTGACACTGAATGTACGTTAGCCCCTTTCTACAGAACCAACAATAGCTAAGGTGTGCCACTTCAACTACAGAAATCCAAATGAAAGACAACACACACATTCTGAAGGCACATCGGGCATCGAGTCTGAAGCAGTTAAATACTGCGACCGCACCAGCACTGGGGCCTCCTCCCTCAGCCACACACCACACACAGAGCAGGTGCAGTTCCTCCTCCAACAAAGCCACCCACCCACCCTCCCGCCCCAAGGACTTCAGGTGACCACACTAACCCCAGTATCGTAGGCAAAAACGGTGGCGAGGACGGGTGTGTCCGATACCCGTGAACTCGTGCGCACTCAGCCTGCCCTCATTCAGTGGCAGGAAATTTCCTGTCCCGAAGGCGAGGCCACTCTGATGCCAATCACTCTACTTGCTAGGACAGGGTCTCACAGGGAGCAAACCAGTATCTGCCTGCATCACCCACCCAGCGGTCCCAGCTGTGGCCTCCAGAGTCACACACAAAAAGGGGTTTCCATTCACACCACAGCCTCCAAAGCTTCCGGGGTCACTCTGAACCCTCTAGATCATCTCTTTCCCGACTTTTTTCCATCTTCCATAGAAGATACTGTTCGGGACACTGCTATCTTCTCATTACCCCTTCCAGACAACTGATAATGGTTAATAATTCGACTTCAACTAATTTGCCTAATAATACACTTTTAACAGCACAGGCTGCACTGGACTGCCCCTGTGGGATCTAAGCCTTTGGGGATGCCAGCAGCCACGTCACACCACGGACTTTTCACGCTTCTCCCATGTGCCCATCCTCACTGGGCGACAGAGAGCTGCCAGTTTATGCCAATGCAGGCAAGATGGAACCTTCATTAATATTTAAATTTAATAAGATGTCAGGATATTATTTTTTGTCTCTGTTTTGTTTCAATTCATGTAGATTATTATAAATTGATGTAAACCATGTCAGAAAAATGTTCATTTTAAAAAGCACCAGTATTTGCACAAAACACACACACAAAAAACCCCTAGTTCTTTACATACAAACTAGGCACCCACATTCGAGACACCCCTGAGGCCACCCTACTTTTCGGGGCACGAACAACTTCCTCGCAGCACGCCCAACAAGCCCCCGGCACCCTGCACTAGCAGGGTCTGTCGTCCACACGGTGGCCATCCACCCGCTCTAGAACTTTTTGGCTCTAGAACTAGAAACAGCCCCGTTTCTTCGGGGGACCAGGCAGGGCACTCGACAGTCTGTACGACAAAGCAGGGTCACCCCTTAAATGCTGGCGATCCGCAGTGCAGCACACGGCAGCAGCTGCATCTCCGACTCACCTTCGTGTGGTCCAGAAAAAACAATGACACGCATATAAGGAGTGATGGCAACCAGGAATCTGGGTGCAGGCTGAGTAGGGCCTCCTTGTATCTTTTTATGCAACTTCTCCATAAATTTAAATTGCTTCCTAATAAGAAGTTACCTAACAACTTACTAGCCAGGTTTCTCTAGTTTATTCGGGCTAAAGAAACAGTGGTGGGTGGTCCTGGAGTCCTGCCGCAGCAGCCGCACAGTCCCCACGCTACTCACACACACCGCTCAGTGAGGCAGGTCTGGTATGGCCTGTCCTCCACCTGACCATGACCCACGCTGCCCGTGAACTGTGTGGGTACATTCCAGGGTGACTGACATACACATTCCCACGGATCAGGGGTCACGCGGACAGGATTTCAACATAACTCCTGGATAAAATATAGGGGCTGGGCCTCATTCGCCGTACACCCCCAGCACCACGACACCCGGCCTCTGTGACTGGCTCTCTAACTGAACAGGCTGGGAACACTGCTGGCCACAAAGACTGAAAAGGAGACAGAGACCGCCCTAGTTATTCTGAGAATTGAATGAACTGCCAAGCAGGAGTATCCTGGATGAAATGTGTCCCCTCAGAAAGCAGCTGGCAGAGAAAGGGAGCAGTGTCCCAGGCCCCTGCACGCCCTGTGATGACAGGGGACTGCACACACTGGCCGAGGGCAGAACACATGCTGCTCTTACCTGAACTGACTGGGTGTTTACAAGAAGTGAGTGAGTGGGGCGTAGGGGATGGTGGACCCTTCGACCTTATGTTCTTGCTTAACGCTCACTCGGTGTCACACGCAGACCAGGCCAGCCTCCCTGAATTCTGAATGATATTACAGGGAGTGAAGGACAGTCCCTCGTGCGCAGCACTGGCAACCTGCTCCACAGGCTCCACTGAATTCCCAAAAGGCCCAGGCACACCGCAGCCATGGCCCCCTGTGTGCTGTGAGCATCATTCGCACTGTCCCCCCATGAGGAGTGATGTGCTTACAGAAGGAGCTAAAGCACCTGTCCCCCATCGGCTTGGACAGCAGCCACGGCACAACATCGGAGTCTCCGGGCAACATGCTGGCAGTGGTGACACCATGGGGGCGTGGATGTGCCCTCCTAAAGAAGACACAATATACAAAGGTCTGGGCTTACCCCATGGTGATGAGTTGATTTATCTCCCGGCATAAAGACTCTTTATTTCTAAAGTGACTTGCCTCATGGTCCCATCAAACAGCGAGGCCCCATCTGGTCGCTCTTGCAGCACCTGCCATGGGTACGTACCTAAGCGCTGGGCAAGGCCAGTGGAGGTTGTGTCGGAAGTGTCTCCAAGGAGGGAGGTAGACACAGGGATGGAATCCTAAAAGGAAAACAGAAAATGCAATGTTGCTTCTCCATCAGTCGAACTTCTGTTGCTTCTCATTCTTCAGCTTCTGCTTCTTCAGGAGGGTGACAGTGGCAGGTCCCGTGGGTTACACAGATTTACGAAGGGAAAGGTCTGGCATCTGTGTCAACAGCCAGGTAGGTTGACCCTCTGAGACATATGAGGTCACCTGAAGCTGAAATCTCAGTGCTGTCAATAAGTTCTCAGAGTTATTTCACATAAAGGGCTTGTTTTAGTGTGGGAAACTCTGAAGCATGCTGAAGGGCAACATGACAACCAAGAGAGAAGCCAACAATATCACTAAGACCACCACAAAAAGAAAGCTACCGGAGTCTGGGTGCCCAGTGCCTCCAGGTCCCTCCCACCCAGGGTGGGGCTGCAGCGGAGAAGGGCGCCACCTCACCTCTGCTTCCGGACCAGGAAGAGAACACAGAGCTCCATCCCCTAGGGGTACCTGGGCTCTTCCAGGCCAACGAGGCCCCCGTGACTTTGCAAAGGGCACCAGCCATTGGCATTGAAATAATGAAAATAAAAATTTTTGAATATGCCGGTCAATTCTCATTTCAGCTAAGAAGCAATAAAATTAATGATAAACAAAAGTGGCCCTTCTGAAATCTAGAGATAATCTTACTTCCAATTACTTTGAAAGTATTTCCCCTTACCATTAAAAAGGCCTAGCTTAAAAGGAAAAAAACCCACTAACTTTTATAACATGGCCAACATTACTTTTACTGAGAGCAGAGAGGCTCCTTAGCTCCTAAGGGTTCAAAATTACCTCAATATGAGAGAGAATTCATTTAGGTCTATAAAAAATGATAAGAACAAAAACACTTACTACATGCTTTTTTCTTGAAAAAGATACAAAAATATGATCTTAATTAATTAACTTGCTATTTATAGATTCCAAGTTCCACATTTTAACTACTAATAGTATTGACAGTTAAACCTCCTGAAAACAGAAAATATACCTTAACAGGGTAACCAAACAAAACTAAAATCCCCATATTGTTACTCTTTAAAAAACTTTGTGATTTCTGAAATCATGCTACATCGGGCTGCTCTCCCGGGTAGACAAAGGCCTAGGCAGCTGACTGTGGCCAGAGGACCACCTTCCACTCACCCTGTGGGCCAGGCACATCCTAGATTATCTGAGCACACAGGGTCCCACACCCCCCCCTTGTCTGGGCCCCTGCATCATCCTACTTCTGCAGCTTTTCTTGGTGCCACAAACAGACTTGCTTGATATCAGGTGAGTAAGATGGAAGAGCAGCCCAGTTGTCTGGTTTTGTTCTACATGGTCTAGTCTTACACGCAGGGGTTTGGAGAGAAGGGAGGAGGAAGGAGACCGCACAGACCCTTCAGTGCCATCCTCCACTCATGGGCCAGTAAACTTTTTCTAAGAAGGACCAGACAGTAAACAGTTTAGTTTTTATGAACTATCAGGTCCAACAGCAACTGCTCAACTCTGCCATCAAAGTGCAAAAGCTATGACAAACCCTACTAAATGGACGGGCATAGCTGTGTTCCAATAATACCTTTTCACAAAAGTAGACATGAGCCAGCCCCCAGGCCACAGGAATCCTTGTTTTCCTGCCTGAAGCTTTTGCCTGCACCTCTTCTCTCCAGCTGGCCGAGTCCTCCGCCCCTGGAAGGCAAAGTCTAGGCACACTGGCCAATAAGTCGGAACGGTTCCTTTTCCTGCCCCAATCTTGTCTGTAAGGTGACTTTCCAGTTGAGAAAATACACCCTACTAAGAGCTATGACTACCAAGTGGCTGGACCACCAAAGCCACCCACAGGAGGAACACTGAAACTAATTCAAATAATCAATGCCTGGTCTTCCAGCGAGTAGCAATTCTGGGGCCCAGGTGGCCTGCGGCCTTACACATGGTCTATGAGTCCACCTTAGGATTATGAAAGAAGCTGAGGTGACTGCAGGGTGCCACGACCTCCAAACACACAGCCTGCCCATAACCTACCCCCTCTTCCTCTCCTCCACTGAAAGAAGACCAGGAACTGCCACCTGCCCTAAGGCCCACCTATTGTTACCCACTGGAGAAGAAATAAAAGAAAACACACCCAGAAAAAGAACAGCAAGAGGGGAAAAGGCATATGAGAAGGACAGCCAGAAGGGAAGAGGGACACTTTGTGAGGACATCCAGAAGTGCCACTCAGAGGCTGTATCCTTCACAAAACTTTGCGCAGGTCCTGCCTCCCGGCTCACTCCTCTGATTTCCCACCACCCCTGGGGCCCTCAGAGACTATAATCCTTACTGCCTGACTGGCTTCAGGTTACTGGCAATCCTCCCTAGCAAATGGGGAGTTCCCTGCAGGTTGCTCACTTATTCATTCAACAAGGATTTAATGAGCTGCTTGTCAGGCACTAGGGATACCAAACCTCATAAAACAGACAAACATTACCATTGACAATAAACTGCAGAGGGAGCAACTACTGGGGTCTGCCAGTGTGCTATAGCAGCCAAGGGCAGGGTGGAGGCTGCGGACAAGGCAGCTCTCCCAGGTGGTAGGGCCTGGACGGTCACTGTCAAGTCTCTGGACTGTACTCTAAGTTTCTCTCTTTAAAGGTGTGGAGTAAAGGAATGACAGCATCTAACTGCAGTCTGCTGCCCCGTGAAGAACTCACCATAAGACACTATTATGGATTAAACTGTGTCTCCTCCAAAATGAAATGTCCACGTCCTAACCCACAGTACCTGTGAATGGTAATTTCACTTGGAAATAGGGTCTCCGTAGAAATTAAAATGTTAAGATGAGGTCATAATGGAGTAGCGTGGACCCTTACTTTATTATGAATGATGCCCTTGTAAGCATGGAAGACACACACAGACAGAAACACTCAGAGAAGAGGGCCATGTGACACTGGAAACAGAGACTGAAGCGATGAAGCTGCTAAGCCACAGAACACCACGGACTGCCAGCAACACCAGAGGGGGATGATTTCCCCCTCAGCCTTGAGAATGAACCAGCCCTGACAACACCTTGATTTCGGATCTCTGGCCTCTAGAACTGTGAGAGAAGATATCTGTTGCTTTAAACCACCCAGTTTGTGGAACTTTATTACAGCAGCTCTAAGAAACTAACACAGAAAGCAAAGTGGGGAACCAGCCAGAGGAAAGATGCCACAAGCCTAGCCCAGGTTGGCAGACCTTAAAGAGGTAAGAGGTGACTGGATTCTGTGTATTTTTTAGAAGCATAGTTTTCATACAGTATCATTACTTTTGGAAGTATAACGTAGTGACTCTGTATCCCTATACTTTATGGCATGATCACCACAGTAAGTCTCATTACATCCCCATGACTTATTTATTATATAACTGAAATTTTTTACCTCTTATTCCTCTTCACTTTTTTTCATCCATCCCCCCACTCCATTCCCCTCTGACAACCACCAGTTTGTTCTCTGTATGGATAAGTCTGCTTCTGTTTTGTGTTGCTTGATCATTTTTTGGTGGTTTTTTTTTTGTTCCACATAAGTGAAATCATATGGTATTTGTCTTTCTCTCTTTGACTTATTTCACTGAACGCTGACTCACGTATGTTTTGAGTGAAGGCAGTGCTCAGAGATTCACCACCATTGGTCGTGAGGGTGACCAGTAGCAAGGATGACTCCTAGGTTTCAGTGGAATCACTATAACAGATGCGCTGGCTGTGAGAGAAGTAGATTTGAAGGAATGGGTCAAGAGTTTAGTCTTGAAATGTCTATTATGAGATGCCTATTAGGTTTCCAAGTAAAGACACAGGAGTCTGAAATTCAGGAAAGAAGTCTGTTCTGAAAACATAGATAAATGGTAGGGTCAATACAGTTACAGCATGAAAACTAAGTAGATGCCATCCCCCAGAGTGCACGTGTGACCGGAGAGCAGAGATCCCATGATAAAGCCTCGAGACACTCCAACTACAGAGATGCGAGAGAGGAGCCAGCAGGGTGGCGGGAGTGGAGAAGGACCTTCCTGAGGTTCCAAGTGCTGGCCCGACGGTACACAGCTCCCCTCAGGTGGTGCAAATTCCGACAGACCCCCATTCCCTAACACATCACAGGAAGCGTTCTGGAAAACTACGAGGGCCCCCTAAGCCCAAAGGACCTGAGGGCCACGCCCGCACACCTAGCGGAACCCAACCTGCGGTCTCTCCAGGGGCACCACGCGCGCCTTCAGGCTCCCGCCAGCGCCCGGACCCCTACCCCCACCCCGCACTGGCCCGGCCGCCTAGGGACCGCACCCCACCGTGTTCCTAGCTACTGTCTCCTGTCTTCCCCCTTCATCCTCCAGTAGCCCAAGCCCGGACGGGTACTCACGTAGCGACTGCACATGGCCACCGCGAGGTTGCGCAGGTGCGGCGTGGCTCCCACCCACAGGAACAGCGAGTCCGTCAGCCGCATGACGTGGAAGTGGACCAGCTGCTCCCACAGCCTCGCGCTGAAGTTGTGCAGGGAGACAGGCCCACCCGCAGCGGCCTGCGGCCCCTCCATGCTTGCCCCCCGGCCCCCAGCCCACTTGCGCAGCTGCCCCAGTCCCAGCTGCAAGTTGGCTGGTGGAGGCTAGACCTGAGCAGGTGAGCGCCGAGCAACCGAGCGCCGGGCAACTGAGCGCGCTTTCGTTTTCTGTTCGGGGAAAGTGGGTGGGGCCTGGGGTGGAAGAGAGCAGGGCCGAGGAGGGGCGGGGCCGGGCAGCTGGCACTGGCGCCCTAGAGCTTCAGACGCGCTTCCTCGCCGGCCTTTTCCCGCGCTCCAGTAAGTGTTTAGACGCGGAGTAAAAACCTGCTCTTGTTATTTACTAGGGCAGGGCGGCGTCCGCCGTGACCTCGGGGAGGCCACCGTCACCAGGCAGAATTCCCCCTCGCTGTTCCCTTCCTCTCCCACCCCAATTCCTAAACGTAGTAGCATTCACGTGGTGGAGCTATAGCAACACTGGTTTCCCAGGTCGTGACACGCCCTAAAAAGACAATCCGGTTTTAAGTACTCTGAGAGCACCCGCCTCCCATAGTACCATTTTGGGTTTGGCTTACCAAAACTCTCCTAGTAGCCCTGCAACTCCGGGAAAACCTTGACTGAAGCTAACCTTAAGAATGGCAACGATATTGGGAGAAAGCCTTTGAAAAGGAAAATTACGTCGACTAGATTGTCGGGGAGGTAAGGAGGGCAGGTAGACATTATTTCGGCATCGGACACCCCGCCCCCCAAGCTGCAATTGTGTATGAGCCTGGGCCTTGGGCTAATGTTTTAACCTCTCTGATAAGAATAGGAATGTGTCAATGGAGCGGAAAGGATTATAAACAAGTAGATTGAAAATGCAGTAAATGCTGGCCATTATCCCAGCTGAGGGACTCTAAATTTAGTCACTTTGAGACACTAGAGAGTTGAAATAAGGAAGCCTTCAGTATGCTAACGATGAATGTTTGCAAAAAGAAGGGAGGGGGAAAGGGAGGGGAGGGGAGGAAGGGAAGGATTTGTGGTGACAGCAAGTAGGGCCCAATTTGTCAGATTCTGTTACAACTGATTGTTGGAATTTAAGTCCGAATTACCACATCCTTTTAAGAGATTTTAAACCAGGTGTAAGTTGAGTAACTTAAAGTTTTAAAGGGTGTAAGTATTTTTATAGCTTTTTTAACTTGCTAATTTCAATGATTCAACCATACAGTTAATTTTCAGTTCAATTTCAGTTTTTAAAATAGCTTTATTAAGGTATAATTGACATACAATAACTGCACATATTTAAAATATACAAATCGAAGTTCCGACACATATATAACCCATGGTTGAAACATGGCTACAATCAAAATAGCAAACAAGCTCACCACCCGAAGTTTTCCTTAAGCCCCTCCCCAACAACTCATCTGTATTTTGTTACTACAGATTTGTTTACATTGTCTAGAGTTTTATATAAATGGAATGCAGTGTGTACAATATTTTTGATGCAGACACCAGCCCACAGTGTCTGCGGCATTATGGATGAGACGAAATAAAGTCACACGGACTACCAAGTCCTGTGGAGGAAAAGTAACAGCACAACTTCTCTCTCAAGGGGAGAGCAAGCCTCGGAGCACCTCGACCGCCCTCTCAAGAGGTGAGCACCTGGACCCTTGGCTTGATAGGCTTTTATTGGATACAGGTAAAGCTCATTAATCATTGTCTGGCAGTAAGGATCAAACGATAGATAACATACAAAGAACTCTGAGGGCCTCTTTTGAGTCAGGGTCAGATAGTTAAAGAGCCATAAAACTTTGGGGAACAAACTAACTTCCTGCTTGGACCTTTATTATTTAATTGAGAGCATTCTAAACAAAGCAGGTTTCACAGGATTTTATGCATTCTTTCTTAGGCCTGATTGCCCTAAGGAACCTGTCCTTTCCAGCACAGGGCTGCACTCACCACCAGCATTGTTTCAGGCTTAAGTCAGGCAGGGGAAGTAAGGCAGCCAAGAGATTAGGAGACTCCTTGCAGACAGAATGAGGACTCAGGCTGTGTCACAGTCAAGGGGTGAGGATCCATCACCCCCTTTTTCTATAGCCCCCCAAGTCCTTCCCTTGGGGCCTCCATGATCCTTCCTATCTTAGGCCATCCCTCCCTTGGGGAATCTTACCTGTCATTGGCTAACTGATCAAACATTGGGGGCCAATTATGGAAAAAGGAGCAGAAGCAGCACTCCTGTGAGGGAGATAAGCCTTGTCTCCTTAGTGGCTTATGGTCTGAAAATGGCTCACTCAGCCTTAGCCATGGTGGGGTTACAGCTCCTGAAACCAGGCAGGGCAGTTCCCAACAATTTTTGTCTTTTTCACTCATCGTAATTAGTTTGAGATTCATCTAGGTTGTTGCATGTATCCATATTTCATTCTTTTTTAAGGCTGACCAGTATTCTGTTGTGTGGCTGGCTATATTACTATTTGTTCATGCATTCACATGTTGATGTTCATTTAGGCTATTTCCCATTTGAAGATATTACAATAAAGCTGCTGTGAACATGTGTGCACAAGTTAAGTCTTTGTATGGACAGTCCCTCCTCTTGTTTACCTTGAGGACTATTCTCCGAGCCCTAACGCAAACCCAAGCCCAAGTTCAGCAGATGGCCCTGCTTCTGATTCTACAAAGAAAATAGAAGTTATCGGGCTTCATTTTCCCAGTTCCTTGTTCCTCTACTGAAACCCTCATGTTCATCTGATCCCATTCTTACTTTCTTTTGCTCCTCATTACAGTGAAAGATGTCAAAGTTTAATCTGTCCACCTGTGCTCTGACCCTGTCCTTCTCCCCGTCCTCGAGAGCCTCTTTCCATCAACTGTGGTGGGCTCTGAGATGTGCCACCTAGATCCCCCTTCAAGAAAGTATTTGTCTCAGCTGCTGGAAGTAGTGTTAGCAGAAAGCCTTCTTCTGTGTCCTCCCTCAGAGTCTGCACACACGGCATTCCACGCCTAGTGACTGAGGGAGGCAGCAGAGTAAAGGCCAGGCCATTTCAGCCTAATGCAGGACAACTGTGTTGGACCATTTTCACTCCAGAGCACCCAGAGGGTCAGCTGAAGCTGACGACTATGAGAGTAGTATTCACTTTACACCATCAGAAGAAATCAAGATGGGGGAGACCAAGAGGTTGAAAATAGTTATCTCAATAAATCTTGTGGCCCCTTGATCAGTTTCTGGACCTGGAACTCAGTAACCGAAGAGGTGGCCAGGTACCCTGCAACACCATGGCCGAGTATACACAGTGTGACTACCTTACCCTTCCCCAAAGGGCCCAGTGGCCATTTACTCAGGTACCAGTACACCAAGGAAATAAGACCCAGATATTTCAAGGCTCAGAGTTGGAATTGAGATCTGGAGATGTGAAGTGTCATTATGATTCTCTTAGTAGAGTAGGAGCATACAGAAACCAGACAACAAGTGAGGCCCTGGCCAAGGAACCGATGAGTCTGCAGACCCATCTGGACCCATCTGGGGTCATTTGCCTGGCCCCTGATATATAATTGGGATGGACATGCTTGGAAGTTGGCACAATCCCTACACCAAGTCATTGGCCTGTGGGGTAATGACTGTCATAGTGGAGAAAGTCAAGTGGTAGACTATGAAATTTCCCCTTTCCCAGCCAAGCAATATTGCATCCGGAGGAGGATGGTGAGAATTGGTGCCACCTTTGAGGCAGCACTCTGAGGGAGGCAAGGGAATGAATGCAGCCACTTCAGCCCAACACAGGCAATGTGAACAGCCATGGCCACTCCGGAGCTCTCCTTGGGTCAACTGAAGCTTTTGGTCTACATCACAACTTTCCTTCTCCCTTCACCCAATCCTACTTCCTCTCCCTCCCTTCCATAGTTGTCAATTTTGAGAATACTCTCTAATAAGTATTCAGACTAAACTAAAAAACCCAACCTGGGACAGGGTCCTTCTCTTCTTATCTCACTTTGTGCGTTCTCTGAACAATTTCACTCATGGTCATGTGTGACTCCACAGGTGGTCTTGATCTTCTTAGAGCCACATACATACCCAACTGACTGTCATTTCCTGATTGTCCCCCTAGTACCTGGGCACTCAGCGTGTCCATACCCGATCTCATCATCTCTTGCATCCCCTCCTTCCTGCCCCTAAGCCCTTTCCTTTCCCTACATTGGTGAATGGATCACCACTCACTCACTTTCCCATCCAAATTCAAAGGATCTTCTCTATTACTGCTAACATGGCTGCCTCTTTATGTCTCCCACATGCCCCCTCCCATCATCCACACCTGCACTGCCAGCTTGGTACAGACCTCACCTTTCTCTTGCCTGGAGTGACACCATGGCATTCTGACTGGCTTCCTTGCTTCTTGTTTTACTGGCTTCCAATATATCTTTCTCACTATCTCCAGAGAGCTCTATTTAACAAATAAATTTGCTCTTGTTATCGCCCATAATAAAAAAATCTTTCAAAAGTGCTTAGCCTAAACACCTATGTAGGCACACAAGGCCCCTCACCCAGCTGCAGGTCTGCTCACTGCTAGCCCTTCCCTCACCTGTGACTTTATGCTCTGGCAATACTGGACTCCAAGAGGTGGCCGGAAGCAACTGCCTCCATTTGCCCTGCACACCATTGCCCACGGGTGTCCCTGCCTGGGCCTGCCTGGACTTACCTACAGGACTTTCCTGGTCCTGAAGTTAGCCCCAACACTACCCCCGAGGGAAGCGTTTCCTGCTCAGGCAGGGGGGCTGCATGGTCTCCTGGCACTGTATTTTTGCCTCCCACAGAGCGATCATTTTGTGTAATGGCCTTTGTGCTCGCCCATCCTCCTCAGTAAGCTCCTTAAGGGCAGCTAGGGGTTTCCCATCTTCCATACCGTGTGCAGCACGGCCCTGCACATAATGACCATAAAACAATATTGATTAAGTGGTTGAGTGCTGAGTGAGTAAATGCTAGAAAAGTAAATGATGGTCTCCTCTGGGCCGGAGGCTCTAGGCCTGACTCCACCACTTCTTAGCTGTATGCTTCTATTCTAGGTGTCTGTTACCTTAGCTGCAAATTGGGAAGATTGGCTTAGATTATTTCTAAGGTACCTTCCAGAGCTAATAGGTTACAAAGATCATATGAGAATGCAGAATGGTAGTCCTCCCTGGCCAGTCCTAAGCAGGAG